TTGAGGTCCGGCAGGGAACACTGGGCGTGGATGGTCGTGGTTGAGGTCCGACAGGGAACACTGGGCGTGGATGGTCGTGGTTGAGGTCCGGCAGAGGAGAAGGAGAAGAAGGAGGAGAAGGAGGAGGAGATGGGGCTGACATAAAACCTAACAGTAACAACCCTCACCTGACAGGCGGGGAACAAGAACTGCATGGCTCACACAGCCAGGACGTTTTTCCACCCAAGACACAAAGGTATTATATTACTTGGCTGCTTTTCTTTGTTTCATCAGGTTCGCAGCCCTACAGTCAATGAGAGAGGGACAAACAGTGCAGACCGATAGCTTTGACAGAAAGAAGACTCCAAAAAGTCGCAACAGCAGAGCTGAAAAACGGCTCCAGCAGATCCCGCTCCCTCGCTCCCTCCCTGAAGCGCAGCTTCTCAGGAAATTAAAGCAGAAGCGGAGCGAGCGGAGTGCTCACAATACCCATCCTAACCATGGACAAGCGCAGCTCTCAGCAAAACCGATGTATACAGAGGGTTCTCGCATTCTATCTTGGTCGTTGGCTGGATCACCTGATGCTATTGGAGGCCCAAACTTATGGAGCGTCGACTGGCCACAGATCCGACAGGAGAGCAATTGTTGTGAACAACACCAGTGACTTTTGCCACCAGTGTGCAGGATCCATCCAGACGAACCAGAAAAGACAGTTTTTGACAGGACAAACGCCCGAGAATGCGCGTCAAAGAGAGGCAGTGTATGCATTGACGCCGGACCTTGAGTTACTGCGACAGTGGCCAGTCACTGGGTAGGCATAATGAACCTTTTTTCCCACCATGTAACATCATGTAATATCATGTAACATGTCTCGAAGGTTCAGAGATGTTTAGATATGTTTAAGTTTTGTGTTTGGTCTCCATCGTGGGAGATGATCGACGCACTGAATTCCTTTGGCACCCTGGGCGCAACTTTTGAGCACGTGCGTCGTGCGTCCCTTGAACTTTCAAGATCTCCTCCTAAATCTGGCAGTTTTGTGAGCAGGTAGGCATTCCGTACACCGTGCACCATGGATCCATTCGCATTATAGATGAAACCAAGGGCGACGCAAAGCCACTGTGGATCCTGCATCAACAGATGCATCATGTATCATCATTTATCGGTTTATTGAAAGCATCGCATTTTGCAATCTTTGGCTATTACATGTTGTTATTGATCTTTCAGTCTATTATTGTTTACAGTACCATAAGTCTGAAACTTTGCTTGCCCCTGCAGATACTTGTACCAGTGCAAGCAAACAGGTCCTTTCCACTGATGCTGTCTACGTTTTTAAGTTCATGTAATTTTTTAGACCTGTCGATGTTGCATATATTGAGTATATAATACAACTTACTGTGCATGGATTTGCCACTCCAACGTGGGTTGAGATGTCGCGTAAGGACCAGCATGGTGGACATTATCAAAGGTAGCTGACCGGGTGCTTTCATCCCCTCCTCACAGTCATGCTATCTAGCAGCTTTTGCAATGTTCAACTTCAAACATGTTTTTCAACATGTTTTCCCGATTCTTTTCAGATGTTGTATCTTCTCTAAACAGTTTTCCAATTTTTGCAGCACGAGAAAATCCAACAGATGCAGATGTCATTCTGGGACCAACCACCTGGTTGAAACCACCACAAAGGGCATGGAGGGATGAGTGATAAATTAGAAGGGTGAGCATTTTCCCACAACAATGTGACCTTCTTGGCAACTTCGCAATGCCAATTGTCCGCAGGAAGCTTGGAAGAGGGGTTGCTTCTGCTGCTCCAGGCGGGTTCTATGACGGGCCTCCAGACTGGTGATTGACTTAGTTTGGTACAAAGTGCTTCATGAGTCAACGCAAATGCATTTGTGTTTCAAGATTCAAACGTATCATCTTTTCAGGACATGGCAGGAATGTGCCCCTACTTTGTTCTCATATGTAATACAAGGTACTGTATAGCCAAGCTGCCTTATATGTTCCAGTCAAGAGTACGGTGCGTAAAAAAATGCTCACTGCATCTCGGGGCATACCAAGGATGGATGAGGAAGCTGGTATGTCCTCCAAGACGCCAAGTCCTCGCAGCGCATACAGCAGGACACCATGCATCTGACGTCGGTAGTTTGGCCATTCTGTCGACGCCTTTTCAGGGCATTCAGCCACAGCGCTTTTGGGGCTGACAAAGATGAGTCAGTTCTAGCCTTGGAGTTTGGCGATTTGAACTTGTGTGACACTGTTGACAGACATCACCAGCGGCACCCATGCGGCCCTACTACAGTAAGTAGAAAGCTCGGTGTTCAGTGTTCGATCTATTTACTGTATTCACTATTACAAACCAACATTATGATCATTGGTATGATAATGCAAATCTTGTTTCATTGTTGCCAGTGAGTCAACCTTCAAGCCACCACAGAGAATTGACCGCGCATCCCGCCCTGTTGCCCTGTGGTGTAGGATGGTGTGTATCGCGCCGTGGTAAAAGATCCCTACCCCACTAACCATGGTTTTGGGGGGGG